GGGTTTAGGGTTTAGGGTTCCTTGACGCATTCCATCAGGGTGCTGCTGTAGGGTTTCTGTCGGGTCGTAGAGTTTCTGGGGTTCAGGTGTTTTGGGCCCAAGCTTCCAAGCAAGACGCGGTCGTGGTTCAGAGCCTGGGTGTTCGGTATTTTGGGGCTTGTGGGCATTGAGTTGTCGGATGCCCAACGACTCCAATGGCATCCCTTCCTTGAGGTTCCCATACTGAAGCTCCCACTCACCAGTATAGGATAACTCTTCCTGCTAAACGGGATCTGTCTGGGTTACATCGGGCCCGTCTAGAATCTAGAACCTCTGTACAAACTCTACCTACCCCCCAAGAAACGCACAGAAGCCCTAAACCCCCCACACCTGGCTCCGGCTCAAGAGTACAGCTCTTCAAGACTGGGGCACCATGTCAGACCCCGGCCGCCAGGCATGCTTCATGTTCTGATGCCATCCGGAGAAGAAGTGGCGGCCATCCCCTCCTCTGACCTAAGCACCGTGCGGAATTTGAAGCATGACTTGCAGAAGATCTGCGGTGCTCCACATTTCCGGCAGAAGATTGTGCACGAAGGCAAGGCTTTGGAGGAGGATGTGCACCTCGATGCTTCAATGGAGAGTGTGCTTCTGGTCTTGGCCGCCTTCTGCGATGCTTCGGAAGAGGAGATCAAGGAGCTCGTTTTATCCCCTTGCCAAGGCTCTGTCGACAAGGTGGAGAAAATCTTGCGGCGGTCCATAGACCCTAATGCAGCGACTTCCGATGGCAAAACAGCTCTGATGTTGGCATCTCAAGATGGCTATCCAGAAATCGCGCAGTTGCTGCTAGAAGCGCGGGCTGACATGGACGCGGCCGACCATGACGGTACCACCGCCCTGGTTGCTGCGTGTCGGGATGGAGAGGAGGAGATGGTGCGCTGGTTCCTGGGTGCCAGAGCAGATGTAAACAAGGCCGACGGCGATGACTGCACTCCACTGGTCACCGCCTTACAAGAAGGACAGCTGGACATTGCAGGGCTGCTGGTGCAGGCCGGCGCTGGTACCGGTCCAGGTCCTCAGGGAAACGAGTTGCTCTACACTGAATGCCAATGCTCTGAGGCCAGCCTAGAGATTATCCGAGTGCTCTTGGAGGCGAGGGTTGATGCCAATGCTGCAAACGAGGACGGCATGACAGCTCTTACAGTTGCATGTGAGAAAGGTCATCAGGAGATCGTGGAGATGTTGTTGACTTCGAAGGCAGATGCACCCTAAACCCTAAGCCCTAAACCCCAAACCCTAAACCCCTATCTGATGTCTATGGCCTCACCGCCCTTGCTATGGCAGCCCACGACCCACGAAGCGCACGCGGAAGTGGTGCGCCTGCTGCAGGCTGGCGCTGACCCTCTTCACGAGAGCATGGACTGGCAACATACGGGAGTTTCCGAAAATGAGGGGTACCTTATTTTGGAGACCTTATAATAAGCATCCTACTATTTGGGGGTATTATATAAGGGTCCCCTATTTTCGGAAACCCCAATACCTTTCGAAGAAGATGACGACATGGCTAAGCTGCTGATACGTCGCAAATATCGCCCTAAGAAAGCCTGGGCGCAGTCATCCTATCACCACCTCACTAAGCCATTGGTGAAGATCTTCCACGCGACGCTCTGTCGGATTTAGTGGAGGCAGCCTCAGTTCACTGGGGACAGAAGTGCTTTTTCGATTTCAATGCATACGTCAGAAGCTTTAGTTATGCATCTCGGCGTTTGCTTTGCCGACTGTGACGCAAGCAAAGTCTTATATCTGCAGTGTAGGCCTCTGGAATACGGTTTTTCTTCGGGGTTTCGTGGGGGTGAAGTACTGTAGGGCTCCTGAGGTATATTCGAAAGCCTTATATGTTGGCGGATGGCACTTACCAACTTCAAGCACTCGTGGGTAGCAGGGACCTCAGCACTTGCAGAACAGGAGCCTCAGTAAATTAACTGGAATAGGGTCTTGGGCTGGAGGGATAGCATGGACAAAGCTATGTTTCCCGAACCTCGAACAACCCAAACTCAAACCCGTGTCGGGCCATGAGGTATCGCCAAAGTGCTGCGGCGGTGTCGCGGCAGAGCTTGTTGTGTTGTTCATAAGCCCTTGATACCCATGTTTTATCGGGTAGAAAAGAATGGTTCTTGCAAGGATACCTTCAGGGGCTTCACAGAGAGCGTTATCGGGCTACAGCGGCTAGGGCTAGTGCTGTTACAAGGGTTCCCTCAAGGGCTGCAGAAAGAGAGGTATAGGGCTGCAGGGGTTTAGGGCTCTGTCACAAAATCTTTCTCAAGGGTTCTGTGAGGTTTCTGGCTCGAGGCTTCCGGGTGGTGTCTTCTGCTTTTCTGCAGGGCTGAGCCATGCTAGTTTCGACCTCGGGCCGAGGGTTCAGCATCCCTTTAGGGTTTACACAGGGTTTTCGGTAAAAAGGGGCTTTTTGAGGGGGCCTGTGCAAAAAGGGGCGCTCTGGAGGGCCCTAAGTCAAAACCCCAGAAAAAACCGGTAATTACTAAGCACTAAACGGCACTAAACCCCCAAACCCCATAGACCTTATATGAGCTATATATCCTATAGCCCCTAAGCCCTACACACGCCAAGCCGTGAACCCTGTAAGCCCTCATCCCTCGAAACCCTCAGCCCTTGGCCCACTCAGGTGTCGCTTGATTCGCGACGTCTGTCGCTCCTTCGGCCGGTACCAAAACCCTCTTTTGCTTCTGATTGTAAGGACCTATGAAAAGGTAAGTTATGATAGTTTAGGGGTAAACCATCATGTAAACCGGAAAGCCAAAACTCATGGATTTCAGGACTTTAATTTCGAGTTGGGGCTTAATGAAGGTCTCCAGGGTTGCGGGGTTCCCGTGTGAGGCTTATGGTTCTTGGGCTCTCGTGTCTTGTGGGTCCTTGGAGTGCAGTCAGCACCTGCGTTCTTGACTCTGAACCCGATAACCCCAAGCTCGAAGCACGAACACATGCGAAACCATGCCATGTGGGATCCAGGATCCTGGTAGAATAGAACCCTTTTATTTAGAGCCTTCATGGGACCCCTTGTGGAAAGCTGGGAGTAAACACCACGGAGACTGGGCCCTCGTAGAAACTCCACGTTTTGGGCCCTTGTTGGGGGCCCTGAGCCGATCCGAAGGCTTGCGACTGCGCATCCCTCCCTTTGCCGAGCTCGTTGGCCTGGGAGCTCTGTCGAAGGAGGGCAGCACAGCTCCTGGGCTACGGGGGTTTAGGGTTTATGGTTTAGGGATCGAAACAAGCTTTTGGTATAAGGTCCCGTGGGGTTTGGGACTTGTGGCTTCGTGGCTTAGAGCCACTTGGAGTCTACGGTGAATGGCGGCAGGTTGGAACTGTGGGACGAGGATGGTGAATGGTATCCGTATACTTAGCCGAGCCATATGGGTGCTTGTCAAAACTATGGTCCCTTTTTGGGTCCTTATTATAATACGGCACCTATCATTTAGGGTACCCCAAAAGGGACCATAATTTTGACAACTACCCATATGCGGATCATGCTAATTCAGCGTTCTGGCATAAACCCTACAGACTCCCAGTGAACAAACTCGTTCCTTGGCTCAGGTCGCGGACGCCAGCCGAGGTGTTTTCTTGTCTGCACCTATGTGCCTTTGGTTCAGGGCTTCAGGCCGAGTATGGCCGCGTGCAACAAGATGCTGAGTATGATGCAGCTATCGTTGATCATGGTGACCCCTAAACCCTAAGCCCCCGAACCCCTAAAGCCCTAAACCGATTTGGGCAAATTCTGCTATTTCATCACTCGGGGGTTTAGGAGACATTCGGCCCGGGGGCTTTTCAGCTCAGGCCTTTTGTATGATTGCTGTGCATATGACCGCCTTTACAAAGTGTGCGGCCACCGTTTGCAGAGGAATAACGAGTCATACTGGTCTTACCCATAAGGGAGTTTCCGAAAATAAGGGGTACCTTATTTGGGGGTCCTTATAATAAGGGTCCTACTAGTTAGGGTACTATATTAGGATCCCCTATTTTCGGAAACTCCCATAAGGCAACCGAAGTAGGACAGATGTCCCAAGACTCCGCATTCGGGATCCCAGTGAGACACAGAGGCCTAGGAGTGGAAGCTTTTCCCTTGGCCGTCCTACTCGGCGGCTACCGGTATGGGCGCTGAAGGGTATTTTTTAAACCCTGGCCTTGGCATCGAAATTGAAGCATCTAAACCTCTGAGCGGACTCTGAACCGGTTCCTGATCGGGTTTGGTCATGGATCGACGACTCATGGCTGAGGGTAGGAAAGAGAAGAACCGCGTGCAGAACTGCCCAGCTCTTTTGCATCACCTGAGGTCCTCTCCTCATCTGCGGAAAGAAGCAACGAAGAAGCGGCCATCCCACTTCGGCTCCAACTGGAGCGCCTGAACAGACAGGTGCAGAATCAAGGATCCTCGGCTGTCTCAAAGCAGCATAGATTCTGCAGAGCACTGCCGCTACGACGACGACGACGACGACTACTACCACTACCACTACTACTACTACTACTACTACTACCGCCACTACTGTGCCATTCCTGCTGCAACAACTGCTGCTACTACTATGTTTGATATTTCACACAGCAAGAATGCAGACTGACCAGCTCCAAAGCGTACAAGCAGTAGAATGCAGGGGCGTGCTCCCCTAAGCCCTAAGGCCGCCCCCGCCTTTACGGCTGGCTCTTGGAGCGAAGCGCTCGATGTTTCGTTTTGAAGCACCGAGCGCAGCTTCCGTTTCACGTCTTCTATGGGGAGAGAGAGAGAGAGAGAGAGACAGAGAGAGAGAGAGAAGAGAGAAGAGAGAGAGAGAGAGGGAGAGAAAGATAAAGAGAAAGAGAAAGAACAAGAGGTAGAGACAGAGAGAGAGGGTTTAGGTGTAAGATCTCAGATTCGTGACTATTTCATGTCCTCGCATGTTTAGGATTAAGGTGTAAGCTCTCAGATTCATGGAGCGCGTAAACAAGCAGGCACATGGTCTACGCCGGAAACGAGGGTTTGCAGATCTGCCAGCAATGAGCTGGAACAGGGAGTGCTATTCCTGAAGCCTGCTGGCTTTTTGAAGCACCGTGTTCATGATTACCCTAAATTGAAAGCTTAAGGTATCCTACTCCAACGCTTGTCGCGAGGGCGACGCCACTCAGGCGGGCTCTCCGAATGTGGAACTGTGCCTTTTTCTGGGAATTTCAGGGTGTACGATCAGCTCGGCTAAAACTGGTGAAGCGCGTTTTTGTTCGAAGAGGAAATACACATCCCCACCCACACACACAAACACGCACCCAGCGGATCCCATATCATATTCGGAAAACATTTCACGCATCGATTTCTACTTGCACTTGTGTGGCCGATTTCCCAGCTGATGATCAGAGCCTGGGTTCAAAGAAGCTCCAACGAAGCAAAACCCCCAAACGGCATCGAGTACTACGATTTTGGTTCAACTAAACCCCAAACCCTAAAACCCTAAACCCTAAGAGTTCCGATCCCTAGACCCGAAACCCTAAACAACACCTAAAGCCGCGAAGCTCAAAACATTAAAGTTCTGAAAGTCTTGAACCCTCAAGCCCCTGAAAACGCAAACACGCTTAATGCCTGAACCTGAAGCCCTGAAACTCTCGAAGGGGCGAACCAACCACCTCGGCTGCATTGTCCGAGTTGCGAGAGCCTCTAACCCCAAAATCCTAAAGCCCTCAACCCCTCAAGTACTGCCACCCTAAAGCCGTAAACCATAAACCCAGACGCGCTGAAACCCTACATTTACATCCTAAGCCCTACTACTAAGCGCCCCTAGGGCCAGTGGCTGGTTATGTAAAGGCGTGCGTGTCAGCTAATACTAGCATCGGGAAGCTGTTTCGCAGTTCTCCTCGAACTCTTGCATTTCTCACTGCAAGTGGAGAGCGGGCCATGCGGACGAACATACAGTCGACCAAAGTTGATTCCTCGACAGTTTGCAGCACGAGTACCTTGCATCGTAGGTTGGTGCTAGCCAGGCGGGCGGCAAAACGCCCTGATACCCTAGACCGGGAGCTAGGATCAGGGGGACCCTTGAAAATATAGACCCTCTCAACAAGGTCCCTTTTAAGAGAGCCCAAAAGTAGGGTTCAGACGGGGTGGGACGCCACCCGTCAACATACTAAAAGTCCCGTCAACATGCCAAGAAGTGTTTGAGACGCCTACCGTGGACATGCTAAACAAGGATGAGACGCTTTACCGTGGACATGCCAAAACCGGTAATCCGTCAACATGCAAAAACT